CCAAATGATGGCTGCATGCATTTTTCATGTTTTTGTTTGTTTGTTTTTTATTCTGTCTTGAAGTTTTTCCCTGTATGGACAGATGTGCTACTGGCAGCAGTAATCCCTGATTCGGGAGGCTGGAATACCACAGAAGCTCATTAGTGGCTTATGCTCATGCTATATGCCGCTAACCTATAGGCTTATTTAAAGGAATAAGATGTAAAGTATGAACACAATAAATCCTTCTATTGAACCCTGGAGAAAACTCACATGTTACAGCAGCACAAGAAACCTAACAACTATTTGAATAATACAAACACACATGATGGAAGACATTTAGGAAAGGGAGGATGACATCAAAAAGCAACAATATTTTAGAATACAAAAGTGAATGGTGCAAAATAAATACACAGATTTGCTGTACTATACAAACACCATACATACATATATATATACGTGTCTATATATACGTGTATGTGTATTTATATATGTATATATAATACAATACTCCACAATGACAAAGCAAAAGAAATGTATTTTTGAAAACTTTATTAAAAAAGAAAAATTGAAATATGTGTGTGACATAAGTATTCAGAACCTTTGCTGTGGCAGTTGAAATTTATACAAACATATGAAATAATAAACGAAATGTAAATATACATGGATATATATAATATATAATGATCATAAAGCCAAACAAACACATTGATAAAATGTGTTATATTTCTTTTGAGCCCGACTTGAGGGATGAACAGTGTTTTTCTCTAACATGGTGTTTCTACACGCTGGTGACTGCTGGCACTTTCCCTCCTCCTACTACTACTACAGCAAACCCATCAACCCCCCCCCCCCCCCCCCCCCCCCCCCCCCCCCCCCCCCCCCCCAGAGGCTGTAGAAATTTGGCCTGTTCACACTCTGAAGCAGCTTCGGCAGCTCTTGCCACTGATACGTTATACTGACCCCACCAGAATCACCAGAGACCCCTTCTGCATCTTGGTCAATCATCGCAGTTCACTGGGCAGGCGGGGCTTTGAGAGCGTCAGAGCTGCAGTCTGCCAAAGTTTGTCAAGCTCCGCCACAGACGACAGAGATGGAGGAAAGCTTGTTGGAGCGGCCGGCGACCACACATCCAGTCCCACGCTGCTACTCCTGCTGCTGCCGCCACGCTCTGCTGACATAAATAAAAGCAGCGACTTGTTACCCCCCTGGTGAGCGAGGACTCTGTGAAAGTCAGCATAATGTCCAACTTGAGGTCAGATTTCGGGGCATATCTCATAAAGCCATAGTATTTACTATTTCACTGTGGTGCGGCGCAGGTCAACATAGCTTTTTAGTATTGACAGCTCATACAGAGAACTCTCACCTCCAGCAGGATTACCAAGCAAAGCCTTTTACTGCCGTGTGACTCAGTGCTGTGTGACTAAGGTCTTAACTTAGGTCTGCAGCACAGTCACCACGCTCTGTCTGTGGTTTTCATCTTCTGATCAGTCAAGGATTAAGTCTGGACGCTTATTAAAAAGTGAACTGAAACATAACTGCGGTTGCGGTGACTGGCTTCCTGTTTAATGTGAGTTTGGATTAATACGAGATCATGATAAGAGAAGCTCTTTATGGGCAACGAAAGGTCTCAGCTTTTACTATTGTTTACTTACAAACAAAATCAGGTGGGTTTTTGTTAGCGCCCCTACAGCGGCAGGTATACTGGACCTCGGTTGTCATGGTAACAATAATAAACAGGCTGACTGCACCGACAGAACCGTACTTACCTTCTTCTCCATGGTAACTGTAATAACGGTCATGGTTTGGACAGGTTTAGGAAAAGACCGTGGTATGAGTTAACATATGTACTTCCTCACCATTGGACAATCTTTATTGTCATGGTTACAATAATGACAACGTGGTTAACTTTGTCGAACGGTCGCGGATGTTAGAAACAACAAACTCTTACTCCCACAGGGGAATCGAACACCGCCCTCCTGTGACTCTGTCTCTCTTTATTCTACGTCACCGACACGTTTCCCTTTGCTCCTGTCATCATCACTACGACCGCTGGATGTCGCCTAGCAACAAAACCTAACTGTTTTTTATAATAACCTGGTCTCCTCCATCTCCTGTTTGGCTGCTAAATGCTCCACCATGATCAGCAGCTGGACTCTGGCTTGGTCTGTCTGCTGTTGGTTGTGGAGCAGTTATTGTAAAGCGAGTTTATAATTTTTCAGCAGGTCAGAAACACGGTTGTAGGGAGCCGTAGACTGTTAATCATCACTGTTATTTTACCCACTGTCAGTGGATGAAAACATCATTGTTAGCTCAGTTGCTCGTGCTTGTTGAATGACTTTAGCTTGATAATGTCTGCTGAAATCCATCCATTGTGGGCAACAGTGTAAAATCTGCTAACACCGTGTTCCTGCTAGAAATGATAACGAACACTCTGCCACCTGTTCCACTCCACTCCGCGCTTTCATCTGAACAGTGATGCAGCGCCGTCTCTGTCGAACATCTACGAGCGCCGCAAACAATCTCTGTCGCTCCGAGTCATCCAGGACTTGTTGACTCTGGCTTTGGATTCACGCTGTGTCATGTCTGCTTCCCTCTGATTCATAATGAATTAACATATTTTCAAATTATCTCTGCTTTTGTTGGAAATCTCAGTGGAATTTGCACAGCACAATTCCAGTGAGTCATCTCTGCGTAATACTGTGCTCCTAAATGGAAAATGCTGCTTTAGGGCTCCAGCAGAAGAAAATGTGCCTGTTGCTAGAGTTGACAGTGATAAGCCTTTGCTTCCTATCCTGAGAAAGAATTGAATTCTTGGTCCCGGTGGCCAAGTCTTACATAAGAAAATGACTGGCTGAGATGCCTATCACTCCCACGGTGCTGACAGTCTCTCACCGAGCCATCCTGTCCTCTCAGTCTTATAGTACATGTGTTAGCTGATTATAGGCTGATTCCACGTCTCTTGGCTCTGTGATATCTCCTCCATTCAGACCGAGGTTTTGACCAAATTGCTAAAAGTCAGTACGGATTAGTTTCGCCCACTAAGCTTCGTGATTCTCATCTTGGCATCGCCTGCTGCAGTGTGAGACTAGCAATCCATGCTACTGTATCTTCAAGATGGATGATATGGGTGCATGGGAGCCTAAAATGTTCCAAATGAAATGACTTGCAGTGTGACACAGCTTCCAAAAATAGGTGGGGAAGGAAAACGCTAGCAAGTACCCAAGGTGGCCAACTTCTTGTTATTATAACAAGAAGTCTCTGTTATAATTATTTCACACTTTAAATTTAAGGGGTTCAGGTGAAGCACAGTACAATCATACAGGGAACAGGGTGTCATCTGAATGTAGCTAATGCTAATGTCCAGGGACAGGAGTGTTAGCTTGATGCTAATTGTTTATCCTGTTAAATTTAAGCATGGTCCACTTGGTTTTTAAAAAATGGGTGTATTGTAGTTTGGGTAGATTTAAGGTGGTTGTGGGAATTCCTTAAAGAGACAGTCCACCAATTTTCCACATCAAATCAATGAACTCACCAAAGGGACTGAAAAGAGTCTAAAAACTTTGTTTGTGTTGAACAGAATGCCTCCAATACAGACTTGGGGTATTAAGTTTGGAAGATGGTAGTATTTCACAAAAATCCAATCGGATTGCATCATGGGAAAAGTAGGATTCACAGTGGGAGATTCCCTTTTTTGTTGGGGACTGAAAGTGCTTTGATCTTCTCTGCTCTGTGTCTTGGGAGCTTCATGCAGTTGTAATTGGTGGAATATCCCTTTAATCCAAATGTTACAGGCTGTGCCAGCGTGATTCGATGTGCATTCATATCCAGGAAGAAGCCAAATGAGACAGTGGTAGAAATCGTATTTAATGTCACACTTCTCTTGTACCATACTCCACGTTCTGTTACTTCAGCATCAGAGAACTGAGATCAATACATGTGTTTAAACAGCTCCGCTGCTCTCCCGCTCTTACATTTACACTCACAATAATCCAGCAATGAGTATTTCCACTTCCAATACTAAAGTATACTTTAGTGGCAAAATCAATTTAACTCAGTAAAAGTTTGATTTAACTTGATGGTTTATGATTCCCTCCACTTACTTTAAAGATGCTCGCTGCTAAAATGTCCAGCCTAGATAGCGATGAGTTTTACTGGTGTTTTGTCTTGTGTACAGAGGGTGCCCATAGAACCGAGTGGAGGAGGGTTCAATAATGAGTCTTTTATGTACTTTAGGGACTTTTCCTTTATTTATTCATATTTATTTCCATTACGCTTGACGAGTACGTGCATATCATTTCTGTGTGTTGTAGGTTATATATAATATGTATACCTGCGAGGTGCTCTGGACAAGGTCTGAGCAGTTAAATATAGACACAGTATGTAGCAGGAGAGGCAAACCGGGAAAATGCTTGGGGCTCCCAAGGGTAAAGGGGCCCCCGATGGCCCCCCATATTGGAATTTTTTCTGCAATGACAACTATAAACCCCCTTAAACCTCCCATAAAGACAGTCTACAGTTCACTGCTGCTGCCCTTAAACCCCCTTAAGTGGGGCCCCTGATGATGTCTGCTATAGCTAGACTCTACCTATTGCCAGCATGTGAGGCGTTTAGGGGACATCTGTAAATCGTAGTTATCTATTGCTTGCATGTGAGGTGTTTAGGGAACATCTGTAAATTGTAGCGTCTACCGATAGTCGGCATGTTTAAAGAGAAAAATTGATCCCAAAATGTAGGTGTGATAATGATGATGATGTCATGACAACAATAAAATACAGTGAGAGATCTTTGTTCAAACATTAAAAGGTTCAGTCCTAATACGTTTTCTGCAGCGCATCAAAGGCCCACATCAACCATGGTAATAACATTTCTCCCATTGTTACTTGAGGCAGGTCTGAATTAAAAATAAAAGAAACTGCTGAGACACAAAGTGTGCGACCTCTCGGTGGAATGGCCTCCTATCTCTTCACTGCAGATGTTCATCCTTTTTCACCCCCCCCGCTCTGTGTTTTGTGTTGCAGTGCCGTCGTTCTGGGGGCTGGTAAACTCGGCCTGGAACCTGTGCTCGGTGGGGAAGAGGCAGTCGCCAGTCAACATCGAGACCAGCCACATGATCTTTGACCCCTTCCTCACGCCAATAAAACTGAACACAGGTGGACGCAAGGTAAAGACAGACACACACATACACACACACACACACACACACACACACTGCTGCTACTTTCCACTGTCTGCTTGATGGATGCTGGGGCTTTGTGGAGTGTCTTATTGTTGCTGGTTGCATTTCTAAGACGCTGCTCTGCACTGCGCTATAGTGCTTGTCACTATTGTGTTGGTTGTTGTTGTTTCAGTGCTGGGTGTGTTTCCCTGATCAATGCTCCTGACTGGTGTTTGTGTTGGCAGACAATGTGAGCTATTTGTCTAACCAACACTCTCCTGTGAGATAAAACACAGGACGATCGGCCTATTCCAGGCATGCACAATGGTTGTGTTCCAGTTCAAGAGGAGCCATAACTTTATCTTAAGGGCTTTACAGATGAAATCCCGCAGCCTAACGGCGGATTAGTCGAGCATATTGTTCATCATTTTCTGCCGTACAGTGGTGCACCAAGGACAGCAGATCAGGAATCTCCTCCATCCCGTGCCATATGACAGCGGCTAATTGGGAAGCCGTCACAGATGGACTGCTTTCAAAAGTGAACAGTTGCATAGTGAGATTAATGTTATGATTAGTTTATGTTTACATGCCAGCAGTGAGTACAGGGTCAGCCTTGGGCAATGATAGGACGCGTTGCAGATTACCACCTATGATAGAGCTGCTCTAATGCCTTGATCTAGACTGAAACAGACCCGTGTTATGTCCTTGGACGTCTGTTTTACCAGATTTGGGCCCATTATTGGACGACTTGAGTCATTTAAAATGAATTGTAGCTCTGCCTACACTCTGGGACTATAATAGAATTGGTAAGGAAACCTGTGATTTGAATAGTAGGCTACATTTTCTCTCTGCTGTAATTTCTGCCTGAAATGAAAATTAAATTTAACAATTCCTCCGTTTTGTGAGCGCTCCCCTGCTGCTCGCTCAAGGACTCCACTTTGAGAGCAGCTTCCCTGCAATGTTTCCGCAGTAAGGACATCACTCACAAAGGCACAATTTTATTGCCATAAGAAATGAATCACAATGAAAATACAGCCGCTGAGAGAGAGACGGAGACAAAAGACTCAGAACAGACATCTTGAAAGTGTTCCCTCCTCCAGAACGACGGGTTCCTCGGTTCCTCAAACACCTAAAATGGCAGACGCTGATGTTTTCTTGATAAGTGACCTTTTGCCGGTCGCTTGGCGATGACTTGTTGGAGGTTAAACCTTGATAACTTCTTCTTGTCTTCCTTGTCTTTATTCCCTCCTACAATATTTACAAATGATCCACTGACTGATGAAGCTGAATATGTCTGTTTTTATTAAATAATATCATCAGGCTCTGCTAATCTCAGTGACAAACACGTTGCATTTCCTGCCTTTTTATTGCTTCACAATAAAAGCCTGCTGCTGGCTCACCAGTGGAAAGCTTCTACTGTAAAGCAGCAGCAGCCAGAAGTGTTTGGTTTTAACTAGCAACATCTTAACACAGCAAATACAGCTGTGACACAGCTGTAGGAGAGCGAGCACTAAACAATGAGGCTAACATGCTAAAAGGAGAATTGTGAGAGTAGATTCTGTACAAGTACCAAGATCTGGAAGTAGCGAGACATCTAAAAATAGCACTTAGCATAGCATCGAGCTACTCAGTTTAGCACAAGATGGAGCATTGAGGTGGTAAAAAAATGACCCCAGAGGTCACCTGAGCAAGCAGCTGATTAGCAGGTGAGCTCGAGTGGCAGTAGTAATTATGACGGGAGAACAATGGTCAATGCTGTTTCTTTCATCTACGATCTTAAGCATGTGTTTATTATTGTAACCGTGGCAACGACGGTCTTCTAACCTTAAAGGAGCTATGGGTAAGTTTTTGGTATTGCTACACACAAAACAACATCAGTGTTAACCTTTGTTTCACTTCTTAGCATGCTAACCAGCTAGCCCCAGCCCAGCTGGCCCATTTTGTCGCTTTCCGATACCGAGTCACTGTAGCCTCCAGTCTGCCATCACCACCACCCACGTCCCACAAAGAAACCACATCTGGCCCCTTTAAGGAAGTAGTTCATAGAGACCACTGTATTTTCTTAAAGAAGTTTTTGTGCCTAAAGCACCAAGTGTTTATTATTGATATTACAGCACATGCAGCCTATGAGCACCTGGACCCTGCCACCAAGCTGCACGAGGTTTGGTAGAGTAATCAGTAAATGGTCGTAATGTTCTACGGGTCATTATGGTGACCTCTTTTGTCTTGTAGGTCCACAGCAAGCTCTCCAAACTAAAGACAGAAAGCATCATGGGTCCATTACACAGAGGTTTTCTCATCTGATGCCCTTATCTGCCCTTATCTGCCCTTATCTGCCCACACACACCAAAGTGGTAAAAACCCAGTGCACTGAAGCTGCTGTGTTTCAGGCTTGGTTAGGTTAAGGCAGAAAAATGACTTGGTTAAAGTCAGAGTCTGACACTTGGTTGACCCTTGCACACACCTCGTCTTCCTCCCTGTGTGGATTTTGAGGTTATATAACAACATCACGCTACTTCCACCTTTGCAAAAGGCCAATTATACACAGCACATCTACTGCATGTCTGTGTGTGGAAGAGGGATCCCTCCTCTGTGGCTCCTCCTCAGGTTCCATCCATGTTGTTTTTCGGGGAGTTTTTGGCGGCTGCTGTAACTCTGCACAGATTCCTTCGAGGCAAATTTGTGACTTGTGATTTTTGGGCTATGTGAATAAATTTTCACTTGATTCACATGGCTGATGAAGTTAAAAATAGATGTTGTTTTTTGTTGGAGAACAGGAATAACTGAAAATGAGTTTTCAGTCACTCAGGGTTGGTTTTAGCTGCCGGGGAGTTAATATTTATGAACCTGACGGCTAATTAGGGCGCTAATCAGTAAATTTGAAAGATTTACTAGATAGAATTAGTTTTGTAGATGTTGCAGGTAACAAAGCAAAAAAAAAAAAAAAAGAGCAGAAACTCAATAATAATTTTTTAATGTATTTGTTGCTTCCCTTTGTCGTCATGTTCTTGTTCAGCCTGAGGAACCATCAGACTGACAGCTCACATTAACACACACACACACACACACACACACACACACACACACACACACACACAGCTCCAACTTTCTCATTTGTCTCTGAGAAAAGTTTCCAGAGTCCAAAAGCCATTTCGAACTCTTTCTTTCTCTTGCTTTATCTCCTCCTCGTTTCTCTCTCTCCCTCTTTCTCTCACTCTCTCTCTCGCTCTCTCTCTCTTGCTCTCTCTCTCTCACTCTCTCACTCTCTCTCGCTCTCACTCTCTCTCTCTTGCTCTCTCACTCTCTCATGCTCTCTCTCTCGCTCTCTCTCGCTCTCTCTTGCTCTCTCTCTCGCTCTCTCACTCTCTCTCGCTCTCTCTCGCTCTCTCTCTCTCGCTCTCTCTTGCTCTGCACTGGCCTAAATGTAATCTGTTGTGTCTCCATCTCTCTGAGCACCTGAGCTGTCAGCTGGTGAACACGAAGCTGGCTTCACCTTGTCAGTGCTGATTCATCCCCGCTCCGTCTCTGGCTGTTTGGCAGCCAGTCAGCCTTGGCCAAACACGCTACAGAGATCGGTAAAGAGCTTCCGCTTCCACTCGCCGTAGCTCAGCTCGCCACCTCGACACGGAGAGAGCTTAAGCCCACTTTCTGCCCCCAGGAGGAAAGCAAAGAGAAAGATCACCCCTCCCCCTCGCCCAGCCCCCCCCCCCACCACCACACATACACCCACGCATAAAAAAAGAAAAAAACACCGCATAGAGAAGATGACCTCCTCCTTTTAATAGATTGTCTGTGCTGCCCTGTATTCTGGCTAATGAATAGTTAAAGAAAATTTAATTGACCTCCAAAGAGAAATTTTAATTAATGGCAGGGAAACATGCATGGCTATGCACGATGGATTGAAGGAATCACAGTTATTAAAAAGGCAGTATTAATTGAATATTTACTCTGCCATAGATAAGCTGCAATTACTTGAAGAGATTTTAATGAATTTAATCACTTTGGAGCTGAAGAGGTGAAAAAAAAGATTTTGGAGTCCTCGCTCTCTCCGTGAAGGGTTTCCTGCACATTTATGGAGCAGATTACATCCTTTGTCTTTTTGTCCTGCTTTATTTTTACTAAATGCACAGGGAATCTATCAGCAGTGTGAACTCAGTGCTTCTCCTGCTTTCTGTTCTCACGCTTTGAAGTAAGGTGCGTGCAGCAGAGCGTCGTGGTGAACGCCGGCGCCAGGTGGTGGATATTTGGTAATGACGTGTCACTAAGTGGAAGTCTGAGTTCAGCAGACGTGGTTTTTAAAGCTTTTAATCACATTTCTGTTGCTAAACAAACTCCACATGCTTCAGTGACAATCTGTGTCCCGTCGACTTCAGCCTCCGTCTCCTTTCTTCTTCTTCTTCCATCTTCCTGAGGTCCTGATCAACCGGAGGAGGAAATCTGACAAGCAGGCAAGTGTGTTTTGAAGTGTGTGTGCGTGTGTGTGTGTGTGCTACTGGCAGCCTCTGAATCTGCCTAATTACAGAGAGTGTCAGGTAGAACAACAAGCAGCAGGCTCTCGGATGGGCAGCTGGAGGGACGAGCCACATTCTGGCCAACCGGCCAGCCAATCAGATATCAGTCAGAGGGCCAGCCAACCTGTCGCTAAGTCTCTGTGTGCTCATGACTTTAATATCCTGTGGTTGATAGACTGGTGTCGGACACTGCTTCTGCAGCTGTCTGTATTTTTCTGTGCTTGTCCCTCACAATTAAACCGAACTAAACTAGCGGGTGTTTGCTATCACTGGAGTGTGTGTACCTGTGTGTGTGTGTGCGGCTGGCGTTGGGTCTTTTCCTGGTCGGATCAGATGTCGCAGGTGTTTCCAGGTAGCTAAGCTCTTGGACCCACTAAAGTTCACGCTGCTCTGATGCGTCTCCTCGTTCAGATCAGCCTGTTCCCTCCTTCTTCTCCTTTCCTGTGGATTGATGTGTGGATCAGCAACACAAACACTTCTGTTGTGGAGCAGAAA